GCGGCGTCTCTCTCTCACTCACTCTCGCTTTCTAGTACTTACTGGACTGCCGTCCAGCAGAGTAGGCTGTGAGAAGATATGCGCCACAAAATGCCGAAAAGCCGCCCAAAACCACGCCAAAATCGTCCTCTGACCTCGACGTCGTCATTCCTGAAAATAGAACAGTGAAAAGCAAGAGAAAGAAAGAGCGAGTGAGGGGAGAGAGAGAGTGAGAGGGAACGAGAGAGAGAGAGAGAGAGAGATTGAGAGAGAGGGAGCAGAGTGAGAGAGAGAGAGAGAGAGAGAGAGAGAGAGAGAGAGAGAGAGAGAGCGACAGAGAAAGGGAGCCAGAGGGAGCGAGAGGGAGAGATTGAGAGAGAGGGAGTGAGAGTGAGAGTGAGGTTGAGGAGGGAGAGAGAGAGAGAGAGAGAGAGAGAGAGAGAGAGAGAGCGAGGGTGAAAGAGGTTAGAGAGAGTGAGAGGGAGCGAGAGAGAGCGAGAGAGAGAGTGAGAGGGAGCGAGAGAGAGCGAATGAGAGAGAGAGGGGGAGAGAGAGAGGGAGCGAGAGAGAGAGGGCGAGAGAGAGTGAGAGGGAGTGAGAGGGAGCAAGAGAAAGCGCGAGGAGTTAAAAAGCACAACCCATCGTGATCGAATATCCTGCGGCTCCAGAATTAAAAACCGTAATCGATGCCTAAGTCCGAATTCCGGTGGCAAAAATTGTGGCCAAGAATAAATGCGCCAAAACTGGAGGCCGAATAGCCCGAGGGCAAATTTTGCGCCGCCATCCCCCTGACACCTCCTTCAAACCGCCAATACGTTACGGTATCTAGCTGCTGCCCTTGGCGCGTTCCCAACCGGCCTATCACCACGTTTTTCCCGCACTTTACCGCGATTCCCGATACATAGATTTCCCTCGGCGTCGACACGCAACGCGCATGATCCACCTTTCCGCTACATAACCAGTTACGGTAAGACTCTAGTTTACCCCCCCCCCCCAGCCGTAACTTTTCAGCCATACATGCTATTAATGCGCCGAGTATTTCACAATGTTCGCCGTGGCCGAATTACTGTAATGCAGTTGTTTTCTCGCGGCAAAAATCGATAGAAAATTTTTTACAAGATTTTGAAGGTTGAAAAGATGAAGCCGCTACACTTCAATGTACCAGGAGTCCAAAACTCAAATATCTTTACTTTCCGCTTATTTTTTCAACTCAAATGCATTGTAGGCTGATTCTCCAGAGCAAGAGCTACATTTTGGTACCATTGACAGCTCTGTAGGACTAAAGATAGCCGAGATACGAAAACTCACTTTAGACCAGGAAAAATTAACTAAAGAAAACCCAGACTTATAATTTTTATGAAAATTTTTCTAACAATTTTGATGTTAAGAAAACAACTAGGATATAGTAATTCGACCACGGCGAACATTTTGAGATAAATCCGCATTAATAGGACGAATGGCTGAAAAGCTGTGGCTGGGGGGGTGTAAACTAGAGTCTAGCCCGGAAGCCATGCGGCGCGTGCGCGTGGCGTTTCGCGCGAAGATTTTCAATAAATATCTTTTCAGCTTGAAATTTGGGCGAATGCCGACGATTCGGACGATTCGGCATTTTGGGATGCAGCCGATGTGGTGAACCGAAGGCGACGGGGTGAACCGGGCAAAAATGGGCCATGAATTTTGTTATTTTAGGGAATGGGAATATTGAGGCGGTACGGCGACAATTGAGGGATGAACAGGTGGTGGAATATCTCTCTCATTCTCTGTCTTTTTTCACGATCTCTCTCTCGCTCTCTGTCTCTCTCTCGCGCTTTCTCTAGCTCTCTCACTCTCTCTCTCGCTTTCTCGCGCTCTCTCGCTCTCTAGCTCTCTCTTTTTTCTCGCTCCCTCGCGCTCTCTCTAGCTCTCTCATTCTCTCTCGCTTTCTCGCGCTCTCTCGCTCTCTCTTTTTTCTCTCGCTCTCTCGCGCTCTCTCTAGCTCTCTCATCCTCTCTCGCTCTCTCTCTCGCAAACAATTGCTTACGACAGCTAAAGCAGACGACCAAAGAGAATTGATCACGTGCGTCGATTCGTATTTTTTTTCTCCTCCGAAATGCTCTCTGCTAGTCATTTCCCCCTCATTTTCAGGCCCGTTCACGTCAATTGGCACAACAAGTGGAGAGGCTGAGGCGAGCCCAGCAGCCACCAGCTCCGGCTGCGCTTCCTGCTCCAACTCTTCTGGTGAGATCACAGGCCCACCCTCACGCCGGAATCGGCTCTCGTAGTTCTAGTCTGTGGCCTGGGTGTCAGTTTAGCGATTCTAACCGCCAGGATCCGCGAAAAGTACCCGTATCCTTTTCAGCCGTCCCTGGAACGCCAACGACGATGGGGGCGTGCGCCGTCAAGTCGCAAAATATTCCGGGAATTCGTGGAGGTTGGCTTAACAATGGCCGTGGTATTCGTGACCTACTATATCCAACGACAATGGATTCCTCCTAACCCGGTTCGTCTCACCTTAAAAGGGCTCCGAAATCCGGTCCGATCCCCCGTGCGTTGTTTCCTGGCAGACAGCGAGACGCGACCAAAACACGACCGCGCCGCATGATTTTTTGCTTGTGTCTGGACGCTACAAATGCTCGAATTTCAAAATTCTGGCGTTATTTCTGGAATCCTCATCGAATTTCGATCATTTTAGACTTTTTAATAATGAAAATTGAGCAGAGAATGGCCGAGATCGAGAGATTGGGCGCCTTACAACGCATTACGACATGAAATCCCCGTGGGCAATTTGGGCTTAAACTGTCGATTTCAGTGTGAAACGTCCTGTAAAGCTCGGAGCGGGGTGTGGGTGCTACATGTCATCTTCTGGTTCTTCGGTATTAACGGTATGTCTCTCCTCGATACCTTTCACTCTCTCACTCTCTCCCTCTCGCTCTCTCTCTCTCTGTCTCTCTCTGTCTCTCTCTGTCTCTCTCTGACTCTCTCTGTCTCTCTCTGTCTCTCTCTCTCTGTCTCTCTCTGTCTCTCTCTGTTTCTCTCTCTCTAAATTCTATTTCCAGCCCTAGTCTGCAGTAGCTGTTCCCCCGAAGAGAAGAAGCGCCTTCCCAACATTTTCTCCATCTATTTCCGAACGCTGAAGCGCCAATTCCTGGATTATGGCCCGTGGATTGCCCGCTTCTCTCTCACCACATATGCATTATCCTACTATATCAAGAGCCGCCAGAGCGCGCATTAGATTTCTCTCTCTCTCTGTCTCTGTCTCTCTCTCTCTGTCTCTCTCACTCTCTCTCACTCTCTCTCTCACTCTCTCTCTCTCTCTCAAGACGCTCTCCAGGCTTCGTTTTAATAAATTTTTAAAAAAATAAATTTTTCTACGAAAATGTGCGTCGACCTTTCATCAGAGCTGGCAAAAAAAAACAAACGTTTTCCCCCCGGCCGGTGAATTTGTAGTTTGTATCCTGTGGTCTGGATGCCAGTTTGGCGGCTCCTGTGAAAAACTGTGCAAAAATTGCAAAAGGCGAAGGATTAGCCGGGGGGCTGGGAATCGAACCCGGGTCACGTGGATCAAATAGCCTCCCTCCGCTACCAATGAACCGCGGTTCTGTTGCGTTATCGGGGGGGGGGGGCGAACTTTTTTGCAGTAGTCTAAAATGCCTAATAACCTAATATGAAGTGTTTTACTAGTGTTTTTAGCGAAAAAAACTATATTCCAACCAGAAAAACTGTCAAAAAAAAACTTGAAAAAATCGTAATTTTGCTCGAAAATCGATATTCTTGATATTATTCAATAAAATTTCTAAAGTTTTCACGTTTAAAATAATTGAAAAACTATTTTGAAACACGGTACTATTTGTATTAGAAAAATAATCGAATTTTTAGAAAAAAACCGTTGTTTCCCTGCGAAAAGCATCAAAAAATTTATTTATTCCATGAAAAACGAAAAAAGTGGTACTAAAAGTTTAAAAAAACAGTATAATCTGATATCACATGAATACTTTGATATGAATGCCGAGGAAGAGATAAAAGAGACAAACAGCCGCCACAACGGTTCGAAGACGGCATTCCGTCAACAGGGCCTCAAAACGGTCCTCGAAAATGCAGAGGGTCTTCTTATATTCGTTCAGATCTGCATCGTCCAAAGAGAATTGTGCCCATATACCTATATAAATCGGTTTCTTACAAAATATCGAAATTCGAATGTCGAATTTAATTGGCCGGGAGTTCTTTGGGATTTCCGGGGAAGGGGGACCAACTTTTTTTTACCAACCAATTTTTACATAAGTTTCAACTATATTGAAAGTAGAAAAACTTCCAAAAAAGTTAGAAAAATGTTTGAAAAAGTCGAAAATTTAGTCAGTTTGGGTCTTTCCCCCCCGCTAATGTTAAAGGTTCTATAGGATTTCTCGACCTAAAACTGTTGTGGAGCTGGTTGTGCGTGAGTTCTTGTCAAAGTGCTGGTCGCGATCCAAAGGGATGCTTTGCGATCGGACCGTTTGATACCTTGAGTGCCTGAACAAAATTGAGAGAACAAGGAGAGTTTATTGGCAGATAAAATATTGTAACTCAAAAGAGTTACACACAACACGGAGTTGCGGGGACAGGAAGAAGACTGAAAAAGAAATCGAAGAGGGCCAGCCGGCAAGGGGGAAGGGAAAGCACACGGGAACAGGGGGCATAGGAGTGTCGCGGAAAAAGGGTGGCGTAATAGGTTCACTTGTTTCTGGCGGTTCCTCCAACATCTCCCTTCTGACGAAGTGCTTGACGGCGGTGGTCGTGTAGACGCGGAACGGGGCACTTCATACTTGACGGCACATCAGTCTTCGTAACGAGTGGGCGGACGGCGGTGACGTTTTCCTTGGATGATGGGGCCGAGCTCGTCGAGCTTCTTCTGCTTGATGGGACGAGCTTGAGCGGCTTGCTGTTCGTCAGCGGGCAAATCTCCATCTGGTCGTGGAGCGGGTCGTTCAGGCGACGCCTCTGCTTGCCCATGGCCTTCGTCACGCGGTGGTCCGTTTCGAGGGGTTGCCGATCTTGTTGGCCTTGGCGACGACTTCGCGGGAGTCGTGTTACGCGTATGAGCGGGATGATGGTGAACATTGGGAATGGGCGACTTGGGTACGGAATTGGGAGTGGCATTATTGGCGGCATCCTTGTCGTCTCCGGGTGGCACAAACGTTTGGTCAAGAGGTGGGTTGGGACCCTGCACATTGACTTCCGGGATTCTAGGCAGATCGAACTCATCTAGAATATCCTCGAGCAAATCGCGAACATAGCGATTTCTCAGTTGATTGGCATGCCTGCGCCAAATGTCTCCAGAGGTGTTAGAAACCTCATACATGGAACGACCAAGTACTTTTCGAAATACGACCTTCGATCCAAGCTGGTTTGTTTGGCTTGCGATAATCGCGCACCCAGACATTGGCATCGACTTCAAATGATCGTTTTCGGGCACCATGTCTCCGGTTAAATTGCTCAACCATCGTCGTCTTCCCCTCTTTTTGAAGAGCGACTTTCAGACAGGTCTTGTCGTTGCTCTTGGACAGAGCCAACCGAACAAGAGGAGTAACAAGCTTTCTCCCGATAAACATTTCAGCCGGAGATAGCTGTTTCGGCGAAGAAGGGCACGGTGTGGACCGGTAACTGCGCAAAAAGATTTGCAGTGTTTCAGCGTTGAGCGATCCGGGAGCTTTGCTCAAAGCCCGCTTGAATGTGTCAACGAAACGTTCAGCCAAACCATTCGATTGAGGGTGAAATGGGGGCGTACGTAGATGTTTGATTCCACGCTCAGTGCAAAATTCTTCAAACTCCTTTGAAGTAAATTGAGTACCGTTATCCGGAAACAAGGGTTCCGGATCTCTCCAAACCTAGAGAAAATATCTCTCAACTGGGCAATCGTCGTACGACTGGTTGCGACCTTACAATCGTGGATCTCTGGCCAACGAGAGTAGGCATCAACAAATACCAGGTACATTCGACCATCAATGGGGCCGGCGTAGTCAATGTGCACGCGCTCCATTGGACGATTGGGTATAGGCCACGGGGTCAATTCACTTTTCACAGGCATCTTCTGCGCTTTCTGGCAGCCATCGCATTCTTTCACGATGCGGTCGATGTCTGTGTCCATGCCAATCCAGTAAACATACTGTTTCGCGAGCAATTTCATTCTGGTCTGACCAGGATGTCCTTCATGGAGCATTTTCAGGACACGCAATTGAAGTCTTTTCGGGACAACAATTCTTTCTTTCAAGAACAAACAACCTTGGTGGATCGACAGGTTGGGAACTAGACTTTTGAAGGCGTACAGAGCTGAGCCTGGCAAACAGTCTGGAAAAGTTCCAACTTTGATATATTCAATCACAGCACCAAGTGTGTGGTCCTGTTCCGTTTGAATTGCTATTTCTTTTTTGCGAAATTGGGACTTGGCTCAATTTTTCCTCGAAAACTGCCGCGACATCGATTTCTATCTGCGAAATAACGATGTCTTCATCGGGCTCAGTTCTCGGCGGAATCAGACGGGAAAGTGCATCCGCTTGACCGAACTTGGTTGTATTACGATATTCAATCGTAAAGTCGTAGTTGTTCAAAAACAAGCACCACCGTTGCAATCGATTTGCGGTGTGCTGCGGAATGCCCTTTTTCGACCCGTAGATGGGTAAAAGAGGTTTGTGATCCGTCAATAGTACGAAACGCCTTCCATAAATGCTGGCGGTGGAAGCGCCGAATCGCGAAAATGAGGGCTAAACCTTCTTTTTCGATCTGGCTGTAATTCTTCTCTGCCACGGTCAATGCTCTGCTGGCATGTGAAATGGCCTTCTCAGAACCATCCGCAAACTTGTGCGTAATGACCGCCCCAAGTCCCTGCTCGCTTGCATCAGCGGCGACGACGATTGGCAACTTGGCGTCATAGTGGCAAAGCAAGAGATCAGATATTAAAATATCCTTGGGCGACTGGAAAGCTTTTCGCAGCCCTCATGCCAGACAAACTTTGTGTCTTTCCTTTTCAACTCGTCAAGCGGGGCGCGCATTTTGCCGCATACGAGGAATGAATGACTGATAGAACGAGACCATGCCCAAGAAGCTTTCAACTTCCTTGAGGCATGTCGGTTGTCGGCATGTTTGCTATCGCAGCCGTACGCTGGGCATCCAGTCTTCGGCCTTGTGAATCCAATATGAAACCAAGATACTTCACCGAAGCCTTGCCAAAAGCGCACTTCTCCATTTTGACGCCAATCAAACTCGTGGATTCGCTCTAAATAAACGACGGACCCTGTCGTCATGCTCCTCCTGGGTACGGCCGGTGATGAGAATATCATCCAGGTAGGCAGCGGTCCCGTCCAGGCCTGCGATCAAATTATCCACTATCTTCTGAAAGATACCAGGAGCAGTCTTCACACCGAATATCAAACGTTGATATTGGTACAAGCCTTTATGAGTGTGGATAGTTAGGTATTCTTGGCTATCAGTCTCAACCTCAATTTGCAAATATGCATCCTTCA